CTGGTGCAAAACCCAATCTGGTCAAACTATCACTTTATCGGGCACATGAGGACGTGAAGAAGAAGGACTCTACGAGACAAAGAGACGTACCTTCTCCGCTAGTTCCCCATAACGTGACAGTAAGTGGTATCCTTGATGCAGAACCAGTGAAAGCACTTGGACTGGCCAAGATGACTTTCATTATTGGGGGAAAGCAGTTTACTGGTGATTGTTTTGTATTCGAGGATCATGCAATCCATTTCCCAGGTAATTGTGATCTGCTTATTGGACGGCCTTTATGAGGACTCACAAGCTGGATCTAAGTTTTCAGTATTGGAGGGTTCATCATAAACAAAGCCATTGGTGGAGTGCCTACCTACCCCCATCGATGATAAACAGGTGCATGACATAGCTGGAGTGGTTGATCAACCAATTAACGCTAACTGTGGAGGTGCACCGATGACCTGTTCTTCTGATGTGGCATTCAACAGTGTTGCCGACAAAGAGGACACAGTTGTAATAGTCTCTACTGGGGTTTACACCCTTCCTGCTGGGAAGGCATCCATCATTTTAGGGAGCCTTAAGCAGAAGGACGAGAGACTCAAAAACGGAACCTCGATTTTAATCAGTGGGTTACCGTTGGAGAGAACTGTATCGTTATCCCTGTGGTAGCCAAGGCAGAAGATGTTGTGAAAGTCTTGGTCTGCAACTTCGGTCGCACACCGTTCTTGGTTCATAGCAAGAGAACCATTGCCAATGCTGTGTCTATCCAAGATGATGAAGAGGAGCAGCTGGGACGTTTACCGACCGACCACTGGAAAAACAACGAGTTCTCACAAGGATGAGCATCAATGCCGTGGTCACTGAGGTGAAACCGGATGATGTAGAGGAAGAGGATCCCCTGGATCAAGCTCTTCAAATTGATCCATGTTGTGTGGTGAAAAACGGGCCAGTGTATGATGAGAAGCGCTTCCAGAAACTTCTGAAAGCACTGGACGCTGATCGCTGGATCCTGAAGGAAGACCAACGCAAAGCAGCAGAGTCCATGATATGGGAATTCCAAGAGGCATTCAACCTTAAAGAGGAACCTTTAGGAAGAACCAATCTTGTTGAGCACAAGATAGAGACAGGCGACAGTGATCGAGTATATGTTCCACCTAGGTTCATCCCATATGCTCTACGACCTGCTGTGGAAGCAGAGGTCCAGGCTCTGAAGGAGCAAGGCCATATTCGAGTCAGTTCTTCTGAATGGAATGCACCAATTGTTCTAGTGAAGAGAAAGGACAAATCGCATCCTCGGCTCTGTGTAGATTACCGGCTTTGAACAGCCAAACCAAGCTTGAGTTCTACCCTTTGCCACTGATAGAAGACATCCTGTACCAAGTCAGTCAGAGCAAATGGTTTTCGACGCTTGACTTGCGTAGCGGGTACCATCAAGTACCACTGGATGACGACTCAATACCGAAGTCAGCCTTCACCACCCATGAAGGACATTTCGAGTACACAGTGATGCCGTTTGGTCTGTCTAATGCACCTCGAACGTTCCAACGCCTCATGAACCGAGTCTTCAGTGGCCAAATCGGACAAGGGTTGCAGTTGTTCTTAGACGACATAGCTATATACACGGATGATATTGATAGGCATCTACAGGTACTGAAGAAGCACTGGGTCGGTTGATAAAGGCTGGACTAAAGGCTAGTCCTGAGAAGACACGATTATTTCCAACAAGAAATAAACCTTTTAGGGCATCGTGTAGGGCATGGGGAAGTTAAAGCGGCGCTAGACAAGTTAGCTGCTGTAAAAGACTTTCCCACACCCAAAAATCGACGTGAAGTAAGACGATTTCTTGGTCTAACTGGGTATTACAGACGATTCATAGAGAAATATGCCCAAAAGGCCCAACCTCTTACAAAGTTGACCTCAGAGAAACAACCTTTCATTTGGGGAAGTGAACAAGAGGAAGCATTTGAAGTGCTGAAGAGAAG